CCCCCACCCACCACCCACCCCGCTCCCTTAGGCCAACTTCCTCTCACCCTTTCTGCTGCCAGTCCGCACCTGGTCGGTCTCCTACGGGCCCCCTCCTACAACCTGACATGAGTGATTTACTCCAAATGGGCCCTGGGTCTGTTTTGTACTCTGGGGCGTTCACCAGGGTCCTGAGCACAGGACTATGTTTTCATAGGAGGCATTTAAAAATCAGCAAACCACAGAGCACCTCCAGAGGCAGGAGATGAGGACCTTGGGTGACTTCGTCCCAGTGAATCTGGGTCCCTCTGAGCCTCTTCGGGGCCCTACTGCCCCCAACACACCTGACAAGTGGGTAACTCTCCCCAGGTCCAGGGCAGAGGCTTAAAAACCCCCACCCCGTCCAGGACCAGATGGAGGGTAGGGATGGCTGGTTTGGCCCAAGATGCCCCACCTACCACACACGCACACGTGCACACACTAACACATTCACACACACGCACACGCACACCTTGGCTACTGACCTGGGTGAAAGCTTGAACACGAGGTAGGTCAGGCTGGTCAGCAGCAGAAAGACGGCTATAGCAACAAGGGCACTGCTGTTGGGTTGCCCCCGAGGTGAGAACAGGGGGCCTGTGGGCAGGAAGGGCCAGGCTTGTGAGCCTCCCTGGCCCCAGGACGTTCCTTCAAATCCACACGGCAAAGCCCCCATAGGAGTGCTCTGGGCCATAGTGGAAATTTTCTCATAGACCACAGGAGTTGTGTCATGCCTGCTCATGAATCACCCACCCCTGGGCCTCACCTCCTCCATCTGCAAGGTCATCAGGGCCAGTCACCCTCCCTAGCAGGTCACAAGGGTCAGCCCAGCCCTCCCAAGGAAGGTGAGACCATGTCCAGGCTCCAGAGACGGAAGCAGAGGCCCGGCGTGCCACCCTGGGCCACACTCACTCCCAGGGACAGACAATAGCTACAGGTTCCAAGAAGCCCAACGCTTGGCAGGTGTTTGTTTCCTCCTTAAAAATCTCAGATCTCCAGGGGAGAGTGGTCATCCAGGGCAGGACCGCCTCAGGGAGGGGGCTCCGGGAGGGTGGAAGGGGGGACGCTATGACGCACGAGGGAGCAGAGGCCCTCTGGGAGGGAGACTCCCACCTCGGGCAGGGCTCTGGGGAGAGGGGAAGCACACAGGCTGGCTCCATTCGCTCCACTGGCCCGCATAGCACTGCTCCTCCACCGTTTCATCCTCCGGGGTGGCCATCTGGACCCGCAGGCGGGCCTCATAGCTGGAACCGGGGTCCAGCTCGGCACCTTCGAGGGTGAGCCAGGTCACCCCGGCAATGTGAGCCCTGTGCCGGGCCTGCTGTGGGGTAGAGGACAGTTAGCAGGTGCGGAGGGTGGGACAGGGCCATCGGCCCTCAAGAACACACAGGCACACGTACACACGACCACGCCCAGGCACGTGGGCACATGCACCCATGCACGCCACCCAGGCCCGTAAGCACACACACTCACGACCCCCGTGCATACTGACGCACGTGCACGAACAGGCTCACTACACTCTCACTCCTATACATAGGCATAGCCTGTGCACACTCACCTCACATACAAACACATGTGTGCAGTCACGCTCCTAGCTCTGATCACCCCCCTCCTCATTAGTCCAAGTTGACACCCTCCTAAGTGGGGGGGGTGGCCCCGAGCTGCCACTCCCAGGAGAGAGGCCCCTGGAGTAGTCGGCCCAGCTCTACCTCCCAGGCCTCTTCCCGCTTCTTGAAGGCCAGCTCGTAGCTGAGGAGGGAGGTCAGGGGCTCCAAGGCAGGACTGACGCTCCAGGTCAGGACACAGTAGTCAGAGCTGACATTGCTCCGTAAGTCAGAGGGAGGGTCCAACTTCACTGAAACAGAGTGAGGTGACATGTGGCTGTGTCTGTCAGCATGCCCAGGACTGCGGGGTCTGAAGGGTGCTGGGGGCCTCACTAGCGGGCAGGTCTCTGTCTCCCAGTGAGGCCCCGGGTGAGACAAGAGCCCCTGCAGCCAGACAGGGTGATTTTCAAATCTTGCCTGTCTCTTCCTTCATAAGCTCCTGCTGGAAATGCTTCCCAGTGTCTTACTGGAGTCCTTCCTGCTGTGACTAAAGTGCATTTCAACCCCATCTCTCCAGCAAGCAGTGGGCCCTCCCCTCCCAGGGGCCCAGCCTGCTCCCAGCCCTGGGGTCTCTCTTAGTCGGGACACAGAACTTTCACTGGGCCGTGGAGGTTAAGGGCAATGGGACCTTGCCCCCCAATCCCCATGAAGCCAGGATGTTCCCGTCAAGGCACCCAGACCAGGCCTCACCATGTCTCCAGGGCAGGTACTGTGGGTCCACCAGGCTGACCTGCTCCCTCCCAGAGACGTAACGGTGGAAAGTGATGGTGAAGTTGTCGGAAGGCACGAGCACCTCCTTGGGCGGCAGCACCACGGTGCACTCACTGGCCCGGAAGACACATCTATGCTTGCTGCCCAGCGCGTGGTTGCTGGAAAGGGTGTATGTTGGCACCAAGGGGCCACCGCACCAGCCCGGCCCTTGCTGCTGCTACCATGGGGCTCCCACCCTCATGGTCCTCCTGAAGCCTGGTCCTCCAACCTCACCTGGTAAAGAGAAGCCAGGGACTGGGGCCCTGACCCAGCTCTGGGGCAGACCAGTGGCAGTCAATCCTTAAGATGTTGTTGCTGAGGCAGGTGAAAGATCCAGCCCCGAGCCCTGGGAACAGTGAGGGTGTGGAGCCCACAGTGGCTGCTTCAGGGCAGGATTAGGACCTGCAGCTGACACTCTGACAGGGCAGTCCCCCAAGAATGATCCCAGGAGAAGGCATCAAGGGCAGGGCTGGGAGCTGATGGGCTCTGACCCATGAGGCATGGGTGGGAATGAAGTCCAGGCTGGTCCCTGGAGAACAGGCCCCAGCACGGTTCCAGCCAAACCCTTCCCTGTGGAGTGAGACAGATGACAGCCCTGCCCCCCAAGCTCTCCACCAACCCACCTCACAAGACACTACTGCCCAGCCCTCACCTCCTCCTTCTCCTTGGACGGAGTCTCCCAAGCCGACCCAAGTGCCGAAGCAGGTGCAGATCAGGAGCCAAGTGCTCAACTCTCGCATCAGGGCCTCACTCTCCAAGGTCCATCCTGCAAGGGACTGGGCTGAGGGCACCCCCCATGAGATCCTCCCTAGGAGGGCCGCTCCCTGGGGGCATGCTCCCCATGAGATCCTCCCCAGGAGGGCTGTTCCCTGTGGGGCATGCTCCCCACGAGATGCTCCCCATTAGATCCTCCCAGGAGGGCTGCTCCCTGTGGGGCATGCTCCCCATAAGATCCTCCCCATGAGATCCTCCCCAGGAGAGCTACTCCCTGTGGGACATGCTCCCCATGAGATGCTCCCCATGAGATCCTCCCCAGGAGGGCTGCTCTCTGTGGGACATGCTCCCCATGAGATGCTCTCCATTAGATCCTCCCCAGGAGGGGTGCTCCCTGTGGGGCATGCTCCCCATTAGATCCTCCCCATGAGATCCTACCCAGGAGGGCTGCTCCCTGTGGGGCATGCTCCCCATTAGATCCTCCCCATGAGATCCTACCCAGGAGGGCTGCTCCCTGTGGGGCATGCTCCTCATTGAGAGCTCTGAGCAGGTCACCACCTATACCCTCCCCATGTCCCATCTCAGGGATTGAGCACCACGGCCTGAGCTGTACTCCTAAGAAACTGAAGCTCTGAAAGATCCATATGGCTACAGTGTATAGCATGGTGCCCTGAACAACAGATCTCCTGGTGGGCTCTGGACTCTGAGCCAGCTATGTGTGTGAGTCGGCCTAGAAGGCTCCTCTCTGGGATGGGCATCCTCTGCCAGCACAGAACCCCGGTTGCTGGGCCCGGGTCCTGTCACACAAGGAGGCAGGGTCACGGGAACCTTGTGCCGACTGTGTAGCACGCATCATACGCTTGCATTCCCACAGCAGCCTGTGAGGTGGGGGACGGTCCCAATTACAGACAAGCAAGCTAAGTCCCAAGGAGGGCAAACGCCTTGCCCAAGGTCACACGGCCAACATCTACACATCCTCTCTCCCTGCTGTATCCTTAAATAGAGACCCATTCCAGTGTTCTGACTTAGGACTACGTAGGAGGACGGCGGAGGGGTGTCCGTGCAACAGACAGCACTCCCTAAGCTCTGTCGGCCGCACCCTTGTTCTGAGCCACCTGCCCTGTGAGCGGGAGCACCTCAGGGGAGCAAGGCTTGCGGTGCTGGAGTGCCAGCCTGAGCAACAGGATCCCTTGGGGGGACCAGAGGTTAGCTAGAGACCAAGGGGCTGGGTGTTAGGAAGTGCCTGGGTGCAGGGAGGCTGTTGATGTCCTATCACCCCATTTGTAGCTCCAGATGGTGCGCTGATAGTTCCTAAGCAGGAAGCAGGGCCAGCCTGGTTATGCAAGCCTGATGGGTGATAAGGAGGCAAAAAAGCAGCAGATGTGCTCACAGACCACAGAACGTAAGCCCTCAAGGAGCGCGCACACACTCAGGCAGCAGACAGCACCCCAACGCCCAGCAGCCTATCCGTGCACCCACAGGACAGACCCCCATTAAGATCGAGGCTCAGGAAGACTGCACCCTCATCATCCGGCACCACCAGCCACAGCACGGGAGGCTGCAGCAAGTTTACCCCAACAGCATCTGCCCCTTCCCGCACAGTGATTGGGTGGAGATGACAAAGCAGCCTGACATCAGCCCACGGTCAGGGTGTATGATGACAGAAGCAGAGTGAGCACCAAGATCTGGGGGGCCTGAGGCACGGCAGCCACTCCCCGGCTGAGAGTGGACCCAGGCCCCGGGTGGAGGGACCCCTCTGTCTCTGCAGAACTGGGCCAGCCCTGCCACAGCCCAGGAGCGGATGGTTCGAGAGCATGGGGTGGGGTGGCTCCAAGCTCAGCAGGCCCCAGGGCAGGGACGACCGAGAGCTACCAGGGCCAGGACCCACTCTGGGTGAGCAGCAGAGACTGACACAGGGCCGCTTCTCCTCTGAGAACTCTTTCCACAGAGAACCCTTCTGCGTCTGCAAAGTGAGCTGGGCAGGGCGGGCTGCCACCCCACCCCCCAGGTGTGGAAGCCAAGACCAGGGGCAGCAGCAACTTGCCCGACATCGGCACCTGGTACCTCTGTTCTTGGCACACGTCCAACCAGTTGCCACACAAGCCCAGGAGCTACCCACCTTGCCCAGGGCACCACTGGTCTGTCTTTCCTCGGGGCTACCCACATCCTTGACAACAGACACTAGGTCGGGCGGTGTAGAAACCCTCATCCCCATACCCCTGGTCCTGGAACAGGCCCTGGGATGACATCAGGGAGACCTAATCACAGCTCAGACAACACCAGACAATCTTGCAGGATGGCTGTCAGAGCAGGAGGACCGAAGCCAGTGTCTCCCCCTTGGGACAGTCCTGCTGGGGAGCATGACTGACACCACCACCCAGCACCGCCCCCCCCTCAGGTCTGTGGACACTGCCTTCAGCCCATCTCAGGACCCATCTCCTCCATGATCTCAGGGTCAAGGTCTGGCCATGAGGTCTGACCACTAGGGCCTTGCAGCTGGACCCCTGCATCAGAACCCACACACACTGCCAGACCTGCAGACACAGCCCCTCACCCTCCCGGCCTTCACACCCTGAGTACTCACCTGATGCCAGGGGACTGCCTGCCAGAGCAGGGCGCCCTTGTTAACACGCCCTCCAAGCTGGCTTCACGCCAATTCCTGCATCCACTTACTGTCCCCTCCTACACATACTCTATTTTTAAGGGAGTGATATCCATCAAATTCCCTCCAGAGGAATGGAGGTTGCTCTTTCAGTGCACACTTATCTAGCACTTTCTTCTCTCCGCTGGGGAAGGAAGAAGAAATTCCAAGAACCAGATACATGAGGACATGGGGATTGTGCTAAAAAGTGAGACAGGAGGTGGAAGGAGGCCCCCCTCCCAGCTCTAGGCCACACAAGTGCATGTGGGCAACTCTAGTGCTGGTGGGAACCGCCAGTACTGTTGGCAGAAAGGGCTGGAAGACTGAGCTTCCTACAGCGATGCGGACGGCGGGCAGGAGAGGTGGAGGCAGAAGGCCGGGTGGGGTGAGTGCAGGCAAGGTGCAGAGAAGGCTGAGGGGAGGGAGAGGTGGCCCAGGGAGCACCTTCCACATGCTTCCTGAGAGGGGTGAGCAGGAGGGGCGGCTGCACCTGGAAGGCGCATGTCTGGGGGCCATGGAGATGGACAAGCTGGGCCCAGACGCGCCTCAGGTGGACAAAGACATGGACGGGGGAGGGCCCCAGGGCAGGAGGAAGAAGAGAGCTGAGGATGGAGGTCTGAGGGGCACAGACAGAGGGGGTCCAATGGAACTCATTTTGGGTCCCCTGCGGGTCTAATCCCCGTCATACTGTCCCCTCTGCCTGACTTCCTTCTGGATCACATGCCTCTTCCTTCATGAAGTCCTCCTGAGCCCCCCCAGTGTCTCTGTGGCCAGACCAGACACCCCCTAGTGAGGCCAGTCAGCTCAGGAAAGGAGCAGGGGAGCAGGTAATGCTTTGGGAAAGGTCTAGAATAAGGGTTCTGAGGGGCCTGGGGGCAAAAGGGGGGAAAATGATGCACCTGCTCTTCCCGCACCTGTTAACTGACCTCCTCTGCCCAGAAACCCCTCACAGCCCCTTTGCAGCCACGTCAGCAAAGCCCACTGTTACGCTACCTCTTAACACCAGGCTCTTCCAGGGTGAGACCCGTCCAGTTTACATTGTGCCCCCTGCACCTAGCCCCAACAGGAAAAGAAATGCATCCTGAACACCCCTACAGATGCTGACCGTGCCTCTAGACAGTGTTAAAGGTCCAGACCCCTGGGAAGAGGGCTCTGGGACGTTACATGAGCACACACCCTCACCTCCCCTTCCTCTGCTTGGCTGAGCTGACCTCCCTTCTGGGATCCCACCCTCACCTGCTGCCCGCGCACAGCTCCAAGGGGGGATCCCCGGACTCTGGCTCCTCTTCTGCGTGAAGGCCTCCCGCGGACATGGGAGTTTGAAGGGGTTTTGCCAGCCCCATCACCTGGACCTCACCTCCACTCCAGGCCACCACAGCTCAGACCATCTGGCCCCAGGACGAGCCCCCGCTCAGTTACTGAGGAAGCAAAGTCTCTTCCACACCGAAAAACTCTGCCTAACAAACTCAGTACCCTTCCCTCTGCCCAGCAATACTGAGGCCTGGAAGCAACAGCCTGTCATTCTTCAGCAAATATGGCCAACATGCTGTCTCTGGGAGACACCCAAGCCCAGGACACTGGAGGAGGTAAGACCAGGGTGATGACCCTAACGGCTTCCAAGGTTCATCCCCAGGCTCTTCCTGGGGCCCAGGGATGGCAGGCAGTCCGCCCTCTCTGCCACCAGCTCAGGCTGACTTGACGGCCAGACTCACCTTCCCAGATGCATCTGCTGGGCCCCATGGCAAGTCCGAGGGGCCCCCAACCCTCCAGACCTGGAAGTGACCGTCCCTGTGTTTGCAGCAAAGCCTCTGAGCCTGATTCAGGATATAACTGCAGTGAGCAGTGACGTGAGCCTCCCACGGCGGGCTTACACAGGCCGCCCACATCTGAAACCACAACGCAGAGCACAGCAGCTGTCCCAAGGGGGCTGAGAGACAACTACCACCACTAAGCCTAACCCCGGGGATTAGGAGGTGGGATGACCCTTCATTCCCCACGACACTGAAGGTTGCTAAACATGGACTCTGGGGATCTGTCCACTGATTGCCAGAGTGTGTGCTGTATTCCTTCCAAGAAACACCCCTGGAGAGGGTGTTAAACACAAAAGTGATGCACTCTCATTTAAAGAAAAACAAGTAATTCAAAATAAAAAATGAGTCCCCTTTATCTCACCCAAGAGAGAGCCTCTGTGAGAAGTTAGGTGCAAGTCCTTCCGGACAAAGATGAAGTGCAAACAAACGCACACTTTACTGGGCTCATAGCTTTGCAGACTCCTTGTTCCTCTGGCTATTTTCAACATCCTTCTAGGTCAGCACATAAAAACCATTAATGGTAGCATATGCCATGGTTCAATAATCCTACTGATAGACATTTGGATTGCTGCTTATATATACTATTTTTATTTTTTGAAACAAGACATGTAACATTATGTTAATTTCCAGTGCATATGCAATTTTAGACAAAGGTAGTAAACAATTCTGGGCATGGATCTTTAATCACCAGAGTGAGTACCTCTGTACAAATAATTCTAGGGGTAGGACTATGGGATCTAAAGTTCAGCATTTTAATGGGACGCCTGGGTGGCTCAGTCGTTAAGCGTCTGCCTTCAGCTCAGGTCATGATCCCAGGGTCCTGGGATCAAGCCCCACATCGGGCTCTCTGCTCCACGGAAAGCCTGCTTCTCCCTCTCCCACTCCCCCTGCTTGTGTTCCCTCTCTCACTGTATCTCTGTCAAATAAATTTTAAAAATCTTTAAAAAAAAATAAAGAAAAATAAAGTTCAGCATTTTAAAATACTGATACTACCAAGTGGCACTGCAAAAACGTACCAACTTCTGCTCCTACCAGAAGTTTAAGAATGCCTGTCACCAACAGTGTACATTATCAGTTTTTTTCATCTTTGCCTATCTGATAGGCAAACATATTTCAATGTTGCTTTCATTTACACTTCACGGATAATTAGTGAAGATATGCATCTTTTCATTTACTTATTGGCGGTATGTTCTTTGGGGTACCAAATAAGGTCACACTTCAGTGTGCATGTGTGCTCTGTGCATCAACACATCTCAGGTAAGCTTTGGATAGCCCAGAGCTGCAGCTCTGGAGTCTGAGAACAACCAGGACCCACAGAGAGATGAAATCAAAAGTTTAAGCCCATGAAACACCTTAGGAATGGACAGAAACATAAATCACACATCTTTTTTTTTTTTTTTTTTGAGGTGGGGAGGGGCAGAGGGAGAGGGAGAGAGAGAATCTTAATCAGACTCACACCCAGTGCAGAGCCCCGAAGCAGGGCTCTATCTCATGACCCTGAAATCATGACCTGAGCCAAAAATCAAGAGTCAGACTGAGCCACCCAGGCGCCCCCATGCATCTTTCTAATATTTAAATTTCAGTCAGCCTGGCCCCCATCTTACCCATTACAAGTACATACATTTATATTGACTGGAGCTTCTCTAGTATCCTTATAAAGAGTTTCCGGGGCGCCTGGGTGGCTCAGTCGGTTAAGCGTCTGCCTTTGGCTCAGGTCATGATCTCAGGGTCCTGGGATCAAGTCCCACAACGGGCTTCTTCCTCAGCGGGGACCCTGTTTCTCCCTCTGCCTGCCATTCCCTCTGTTTGTGCTCTCTCTGTCAAGTAAATAAAATCTTAAAAAAAAAAAAAAAACATAAACAGCATACCAACTTTCTTGAATCAAAATTCAGGGTATACACTCTGAAAATAATCTGATAAATGAATTAAATTTTTTTAAATCTTTTTTTTTTAAAGATTTTATATATTTGATAGAGACACAGCAAAAGAGAACACAAGCAGGGGGAGTGGGAGAGGGAGAAGCAGGCTTCCCGCGGAGCAGGGAGCCCGATGTGGGGCTCAATCCCAGGACCCTGGGATCATGACCTGAGCCAAAGGCAGACGCTTAAGAACTGAGCCACCTAGGCGCCCCAAATGAATGAAATATTTTTAAAAAATGATGGTCAGAAAAATCTGAGCTGAGGGGTGCATGGGTGGCTCCGTCAGTTAGGCGTCTGCCTTCGGCTCAGGTCATGATCCCAGGGTCCTGGGATCCAGCCCCACGTCAGGCTCCTTGCTCAGTGGGAAGCCTGCTTCTTCCCTGCCTGCCGTTCCCCCTGCTTGTGCTTGCTCTCTCTCTCTTTTTCTATCCAGCTCTCTCTGTGTCAAATAAATAAAATCTTTAAAAAAATAAAAAAGAGAGTTTCCAGGGCGCCTGGGTGGCTCAGTTGGTTAAGCAACTGCATTTGGCTCAGGTCATGATCCCGGAGTCCCTGGATCAAGTCCCGCATTGGGCTCCCTGCTCAGTGGGGAGTCTGCTTCTCCCTCTGACCCTCCCCCTCTCATGCTCTCTCTCTCTCAAATAAATCTTAAAAAAAAAAGAAAGAAAGAAAACATTTAAAAAGAGAGAGAGTTTCCTCTCTGACAGGGTCCCCCCCACCTTGTTGAAACTAGAATTTACTACCTTAAGTCCATCAGACCACACCATCCACACCATGAGCCCTCAAGTGGAGACCACAAAGGCTGGAATGGGAGGAAATCCTGGAAGGGAGGAGAGCACCAAATTCTATGTCTAAACTCTACCCCCCAAAACAAACAAACAAACAAACAAACAAACTCTACCAAAATCTCTGGATACTTGTGAGCCACATGTGTACTGGAGAACTCCAAGCAGCACAGCTAAGGTGAAACCACCTGAACGGAAGTTTCAGCTGCTGCCTACATCAGAGACACAGAGTTTACAGCCTGCTTTAAATATAAATAAAAAATCAACACTCTCCAGAGAAACATAACAGAATCTAGTGTCTACAGTCTGTATCATTCACAATTTCCAAGATAAATCCAAGAGTATTAGACATTGAAGAAACAGAACTAGATGACCCACACTTAAGAGGAAAGGTAACCGATGGACACGGACTCCCAGGACTAAGTTGTTGGAATCAGCACAGGTTCTAAAGTAGCTACGCTAACTGTGCTCAAAGATATAAAGGAAAATATGCTCCCAAGGAAGAAACAGGAAACATGGGAGGAGAGAGACACACTACAATAAAGAACCAAGAGAAAACATAGAAGAGAAAAACACAGTATGTTAAATAAAAAGAATACATCGTAACAGTACAGGAAACAAGAAAAACACATAAGCGAGGACATCTGTGAAAGTCAATGCAGTGCCCTTCCTGGGTGATCACCAGGATTACCAGTCCTAACCACGAAGCAGCCATTTAGTATATACATATTTTTTTCCCTTACCCTATTACCAGTGCATACCATTGTGACAAAACCAGAAAAGGGGACCCTGAAAGTCACCCTTTGAAGGCACAGTGTAGATTACCGCATCATCAAACTGGCTGGCAAAGGAACGTTTACTACCCAATGACACTACAGCAGGTCATTGTCATCAGACTACGCACCGAGTCACTGGCACCGCTCTCGACACGGCGCAGAATTTCTTCAAAAAAATTAACTACGAAAATGAAACAACCAATTAAATTTCTGAGGGGCTCATTTGTTAACCAAGCCAGGAAAGCCACTGACTTGTGTTTAATTGCAGCAGTGGTGCAATTGTGGTTGGTGCACAGTGGTGACTTGTGTTTAATTGCAGCAGTTGAAGAAGTGTGTCCAGAGAAAATAAATTTAGGACTCTCGGCCTTTTGGAGAACAGTTCTAAAAGCTAAGGGCACTGGGAGCAACATCAAGTCAATTAAAAACGAGGCGAATGATACGAAGTGATTTCCCTTGATTCTTGATGAATCCTCCAATGTTACTGATATTGCTCAAGTGTCCTTCTGAAAGGTCAATGCCTCGGCCCTGAGCTGGGAAGGGACGGAAGAGTGAGCCTGTGCGCACGGTCTGCGTAGAACCAACTGCAGGCAAGAATATTTTCAGAGCTGAGAAAACACGAATTCAGTAGACCATGGATTGGAATCTGCTAATCCATGTTACAGCAAATTCTCTATGGAAATTATTTGCATCTCTCATCAGTATTGACTCTACTCAATCTACTGCTGATGTCAACAGTTAACTTCATTTGCTGTCCTGCACTTAACCAGCATTCACAGATGCATATTCGCAATCTATTTTGATGACCAGAAATGCTAACTTTGAACCCCAGTTCAGCAAAACGATATCCATTCTTTTCATCAGTAGACCCCCATTACAAAATGCTGTACTCAATTACAATTACATTTTGAATTTTGTTTATAAAAAAGTGGTAGAAGTTTGTTTTCCTAGATTTTGACTCTCGACCCACAGAGTCTAAAATATTTACTATCTGGGCCTTTACAGAAAATGTTTGTAAACCCCTGAAATTGACTATCATCATCACTTTACACACGAGGAAGTGAAGGCAGAGGCTCC